TAGTGAGAACGGTTTATAGTCATTTCACGAACAATCTTCAATAAGTGATTCATAGCATCCCAAGAACTGCAGTCAGACAGTCTACATCTCCCTAATAGGTTCCAGAGTAAAGTTAAGCATTTTATTGATTGATGATATGTTTTGATCTCACCACTCACGACTCTTTCAATATAGTCCTGTATCAGTTAATATTAGCTGTCAAGACTGGCAGTGGTTTGGCATGCGCAGCACATGTCCTAGCTATCTCTTAATTGACACAGCTTCAAAATCTCATTGAGTAATTTTCTCTCCTTACTCTACGCGTAACCTTATTATAACAAAACCCAATAAAAGAAAAATAATATTTGCAGGGATTTGACTGGTTTTAGGATTTCATCATGAACTGACATCGATTAGAGAACCACAGGAAAATCCGGGATTACTGAACAGCTGTTTAGTTCTAGTTTGGGATTCTTTATCAGTAAGCATCTACTGAGGTTCAAACCCACAAGCTTCCGATTAGGAGGCGAGCTCACAGACCATTAAGCCACTGGTACCCGACCCAATGGTCCATGAATTCTAACTGCCAACGCAGCTACAGCTCTGATACCCTCGAAGAACTACACTTCCTGAAAGAAATCTTCATACAAAACGGATATCCACCAAGATTCATAGACAAAAACATCACACAGAAAATCCAAAAGCAAGAGACGCCATCTGTGCCAAAAGAGATACTTTATATGAACCTCGACTACTAAGGTGACCTACACAGTGATATCCTTAAGAGGAGAATTTTCACTGCTTTAAGAAGAACTGTCTACCCGACAACACTGAGAATAGTGTTCTGTCCGCTGATCTGCAGAAGCTCAAAAGACAAGATCCCGCACCTGACCACTTCTATGTGTATGTAATATCAGTTCACTTGTTGCTGTGGAGTCAGGTACATTGGTCGTTCAATGTGCATCCTGTCAAAAAGGGTCAAAGAACACCATCCAGCGTGGCTGCAAAAAGGAAGTAATGGCCGTATAAAGAGTGCAATAATCGAACATCTCGTCACCACTGGTCATTCCATCTCAACAAACGCCTCCTTCAAAGTATTCTGCAAAGTGAAGAACAACCTTCCAAAGACAATACCTTCCCGTCTTCTTTGCATTGCAGAAGCCCTAGCCATTCAGTTAGAAGAACCAGAACTATGCACATAAAAGAAAATTATTCAGCCACTTCTACTATCCTGATAACAACTCTATTGATCTGACTTAGCTTTTGCTTGTCTTTCTAACTACTTAAAACTCTTGAATTCCTTTAAAGCTCTTACGTAATTCCGTATTTTATTTTGTCCCAATGTTCACCCGGAGCACAACTCTTTCATCAAACTATTCATGCTATTACGTCACTCTTCTCTAACAATCGTTTGTGACAATTCATCACTTTTGTTACTATCCTTTTATATCGACATCTAATTCCTCTGAATACTTTTTGTATTACGTAACTCCATGCAAAACTTACTAATTTTCACCTGTTTAGTTAAAATAATCATAACCAATTGTATTTCTGTTTCACAAACTTAATGTACACATGCATACAAAATAACTCATATATATTTGCGATTGTACATCTAAGAAAATCAAATTTGCCGAAAACAGACTCTTCTCTGAACTACTGGTCTTCTCTTTATTAATTCACTAGCGAATGTCATCACCGGCGTGTATTTGTCTCAACACCCAACCTGCTGTACCCCACTGGTCACAAAAGAAGTAATTTTTTTATAATGTAATACAAGGAGTACACCAAAACAACTCACCGTTGAGATCCCACCAATAATTTGAGAAACGCTTAAACTTCGCAGCTTCTTCTTTATCGATTGTTGTATTAGAAAACTTCTGACAAATTGCCATTTGAACTGAACATTTTTGTTTAAGTAGTTTTACAGTAGGACACAAAAGATGCCGTTTCATAATTCTCTCTATTCTCTACAGAGGAAACCGAAGATACATCACATTCATTATTATTAGTCACATTATGTAAAACTAAGTACTTTAGATGCAAACTCTACCTGCGAAAGTGCATTCACATGATATCCGCCCCGGTTAACCATAATTTAATAAAGACGAGTATCAATGGGTTTTTTATACCGCATGGATAAATTTAAAAAGAAAACAGTAAATCTGCTTTCAGACAGGAAAATTTAATTGGTGGATGGTGACTAGCAGTGGAATCCAGGATAAAGCGCATTCCGTCCTATTTGGGACTCGTCAACTGGATGTATCTGCATCTCTCAGTGAATGATGATGTTCCCACCGAGGTTCGAACCCAGTGCCCATAGTGATCTAGTGCATAATGCTTTGGCGTCTGAAACTATGGGCACTGGATTCGAGCCTCGGTGAGAGCATCATCACTCACTGGGAAATGCAGGCACTGACAGCTGAGTCCCAAATAGTACAGAATGCCTTTATCTTGGATTCCACTGTGAGTCACTATCCACCAATTAAATACTAATTAAATGCCCAGACATCGCCGAAGCATCTGCACAAGAAGCCCAAATGTCAACCTGAGACCGAGTACCTCGGTCCAATCCATCGACGGGAAAATCTCAAATTCAATTAAACAGGGAAATTGTTTTAGACATTTATAGGTAGTGTACACAATAAAGTCAACTAGTCGATTCGTAAAAGAGAATCACAGAATTCGGCAAATTATTCTGCTGATCAGATATAGGGAAATGATTATATCTAAATCTTAGTTTACGGCGTAACTTTATTTATTCACATTTATTTATTCCTCTAGCTTTGAAGGTAACAAACAGATAATCAGAAAAACGATTAGATAGAAAGTTCCTGTTAATTGTTCTTTATTGAATCTGTTTGACGACCCAGAAGTCTCAGTTGTGAAGTATTAAAGGTATGACGAAGTTCGATTTGTTTTAATCGATTAAGATGTCACCTCTTAATGGTATTATCTACTCTTGTGTGTGTTTAAAATGTTAACAAGAGCCTGATTAGGAAGTTCCTACTAAACTTGGGTGACAACGTGTTCCAATACATGAAATAACTGCTCTTCAATTATGCCCTTGGGTCTCAAAATGTACTTCTGAATATCTTACAATTGGCTTTGAACTAGATATCGTGGATTTCGTGAAACAGACAAAGCAGATATATCACATAGTGGAATGATTTGCGCTTCAGCTAAGAGATCATTGTCATAGAATGTACTACTGTCAATTAATATTTTACTTGAAGATATCGTACGAAAGGAAAATATCGCATCATAAACTCCTGAAAATTCTGTACATTTTATACTGTCCAGAATAAACATGTTATTTAATTGATGGATGGTGACTAACAGTGGAATCCACGATGGGCATTTCGTCCTATTTGGGAATCGTCATCTAGATGTACCTGCATTTGTCAGTGAATGATGATGTTCCCACCGAGGCTCAAACCCAGTTCCCATAGCTTCAAACACCAAAGCGTTATCAACTTGAACACTTGGGCCACGAGAGCCACCTCTTGTGTAACGGGTCATATTAATTTAATTCGAATTTAGATTTTCCCATCGACTGATTGGACGGGACTGAAGTGCTCGGTTTGAGGTTGACATATCGGCTTCTTGTGCAGATGATCGATGTGAACATCTTCTTTCACTGAGAAATTCAGATACATCCGGCTGACGAGTCCCAAACAGGACGAAATGCGCATCCTGGATTCCACTGCTAGTCACTATCCATCAATTAAATACTAATCAAATGCCCAGACACCATCGGTCCAATCAATCGACGGGAAAATCAAAAATTCATTTAAAAGATGGCATTGTTATTATTATTATTATTATTAAAGCCAGTGAAATGATGCACACACAGAGATTTCGATTAATTATGTATATCAACTTTTGATTTCTACTTCTCTTTAATGATGATCATATCTAGAAACTAAACATTTAGGTGATTAAAACAAATGCAGGTGTATAACTACTACTGTAGTGAGAGCTGGTTGCTAGCCAAAAGTTGGTAGACAATAATTTATGTCAATGTTTACGTCCCCAATATTGGTTGTGAGACAAATGAGAACAAAGACTGATTCAACAACCAATCACAGTAGACTTTGCGTAGGCGGATACAATTAGCATATAGATGATATGATATTCAAAGAAACGGCCACAAAGAGGTTACAGATTAACTTTAAGCAAGGAAACAGTCAATCAGAAGACTGTGTTTGTTTGCTTACAATAATCTATTATAATGTACATCAAAATCTTTAAAAAATATCTGTTGATTTCCTAAATAAACGATCTGTTGCCTGGCGCTTATCTTCTGTTTTAACACTACTATGTGAATATGCAGTCATCAATGTTGAATTTTCTTCCCTGGAAAACAGTTTACTTCATGGGTAAATACACCTAGCATCGATCGCTTTCACAGCAAATATTCTACACAATTTATCTCTAATGCTAAATTTACATAAATGGTTTTTCTTTTTAATTTCTTTCCTTGTTCAAGTTTTAAAAAATTCCAATCTTTCGTGTAACTGAGAACACATGAGTCAGTGAAGAGTTCTGTTTGTGTCACTTCACTTTACTTCACAGCTGTACAGTTATTCAGAGTGTTTATACATACATCGAACACTTACCCTTGTGGTTTTATTAAGGAGAAAAATGCTCCCCACCCCCCCCACCGCCAAGAAGCTCTATTCTGGAACACCTGATCGAATCAGGACACCAAGCAAACCCACAAAACAACTTCAAAGTTATCTATAGAATACATGGGAACCTTGTTAAAAGAGTTAAAAAATCAAAGTTCTTCAAACAGAGCAAAAGAAATTTGTTCACTCATTAAATCTACACTGGATCTCACTTGTCTTAACACTAAACATGTAATTTTCTTTCTTTTTCTTTTGGTTCGCTGGTTTCTTAATTGTATAATATTATCTTCCCCCCATCCATTATTACCACTGTGGCTAACTTAACTTTTGTTCAATTTTAATTTTAGCTGAGCTCTACTCAACCCCGCCAATTAGATTATCTATTTATTTTATTATAGCTTGATTCCACACAGTATTTTTGTTACAACTATGGAATTTTCAGCATGTGATATCGGTAGCCCAAATGTAGCAGTGCGACCATTGATATCAGGTGTGCATCGAACGGGGATCGAACTCAGGAACCATGTGCATGGTTGGCAAGCTTTATTAATCTACAACTCTAGAGAGAAACACGCGAAAAAAACCACTCTTATCAATGTTACTAGGCAGACACTGGTAAGAAAGACAAATTCGAAAATTTGCCTAACTTATATATCCGAACGCAGCATGCACGGACAAACACAAGGACAGCATACAAATTAACAGATAGGGAACTTAATGTACATGAAACGGCATTACTTCAGAAAGGATTAAACTTTATCATAATTCGACAACCACTGAAAGCGATAGAAATAACTCCCATCATGGAACCTATATTAACCCTTTTACCTAATGATGATGCTAATGAACTGCGTCAGAAGGTTGGATGTATTCGGTCGAATCAAAAGTAGGTCATCCCAAATTTGTCGAAAAACAAACGTCATGCATTACAAACATTAAGATCAGACAAATCTATTGTTACAACTAAAGTCGACAAGGCAATATCACTGTGATTCTCAATAAAGATGACTATGACAAGAAAGCTTTGGAACATATCGAAGCAGGTCCATACGCACTAGTACCAATAAACAAAATGTCTAGTACCATGAACAAAGTAAAAGCACAAGTATGTAATCTACTTAGAGAATTGAAACCGAAAGTAGGGAATTCAGTTTGGTTTTCAATAGCTCCCAAAACAAACACGGCCGCGAGACTTTATGGAAGACCGAAAATCCACAAAATAAATGTTCCTTTAAGACCAATAATTGATTTTACCAATTCAGTGACATATACTTTATCAAAACACATATCACGAATACTGAAACCACTTCAATACAATATTCCTTCGAACATCAAAAATATTGGGGAGTTTAAAAGAAAAGTAATAGACATAACTATTGAAGAAGAAAAAGAAGAAATTATAGCAAATTTTGTGGTGATTTCTCTACTTACTTGTAATCCTTTATGTGATTCACTTGATATTATGAAACATGAACTTGAAAACAATCAGGAAGTATCAGCTTAATCTTCATTATCCATAGATGAAATTATAAAATGCCTAAAACTTTATTTGGAGCCTACATATTTTACCTTTAAAGCCAAACTATGCTGTCAGACAAATGGAGTTGCAATGGGGTCATCAGTATCTCCAATTGTAGCAAACCTGTATATGAAAGCCCTAGGAAAGAAAGCATTGGCAATTTTTAGTTGTCATCCTAGAATATGGTACAGATATATATATATATGACGCATTTATCATCATTACGAAAGCTGAAGAATTAAACTTTCTAACAGAAATTAACTTAATCTCAGAATATATAGAATTTACTAATGAAGTAGAATCGGCGGAGGGAACTCTAAACTTTCTTGACTATTTCGTAAAAAGACAAACTGGCGAGAAACTAAAGTTTACAATGTACAGAGAACCGACACATTCCAAGAAGTATTTGAATTTCCAAACAGATCATCCAATAGGAATGAAAGTTCTAGTAGCTTTAAATCTCGTTAACAGAGCTAGAAACATTATAACGGATGATGATGATATGGAGAACGAGATATCCAATATAAAACAGATTTTGATTGGAAATGGTTATCCAGAAAAGCTACTAGATAATATTATCAATAAAAAGGAGAATAAGGGAGAACAGAAAATTGAAAAATCTTGGCTATCGACGATATCCATTCCATATCGAAAGGACACAGCTGAAGAACTCCAAAGACTGTTTGCTTCATAGAATATTAAAGTCTATTTCAATCCCTCTAATTCTCTAGAGAAAGCTTCGGTCAATGTCAAAGATATGCTTCCCAGAATGTCACAAAACAATTGTGTCTATAGGATAAAGTGTTCAGAATGTGAAGCTTGCTATATATATACACGGGACAGCAGTAGGCAGGTGAAGATCAAAATGATTGAACATCGGTTATTCACGAAACGTCCACCTAGAAATGAAGTAGAATTAAAAAGTCTGGAGAAAAGATCGGCTATAGCAATGCATGCGATAGACAACGGACATAAGATTGACTTCTAGAGGATTTCATTCACATAAAGAAAGGTTGACCTCTGAAGCCTTGCATATTTTAGCCACATCGAATTCAGTGAATAGGAAAGAAGAGATAGACTTATCACCTATATGGCAAACTGTAATGAAGCAAGACAGATGAAAAAACTATAGGATTAGTAAGCGAATATAAAAGGAACCCAATTCATTCGCTATGCTTTAGGATAAGAAACATTTGTAGTTCTGATTGCGTTGACTCAGGACTTGACTTCCTAAAAGCCACGCTCGCAGAGAACGGTTACTCGTACCAATCTGTTGACAGTAACACTAAAGATAAGCAGTCTAAACGGGTTGTCAACTCAGTTCCAAAGAAAACCTTATTCATTAGCTTGGAATTCAAAGGTGATCAAGCTTCAGATACGCTCAAAAACGGTCTCTCTAAAGCAGTCAGTAAGGCGTTCTTTGCAGCAAAAATTACAAATGACTTTCACAAGCCACAAGTTGTTCTCTGTCTCTGTAAAAGGCAAACTCCTCCGTCTGGCCGCCTCCATGTCCATCTATCACTTCACCTGATATTTTGGCCACAGCCAGAGGACGCTTTCCACTCGGATACGAGAACACAACCCAGAATGGTTTTACAAGGGAGAAAGGAAGTGTGTGCGAAGCTCTATTATAGAACACCTGATCGACTCCTGTCACTCTGCCAACCCTGACCATGATTTTAAGATCATCTGCCAAATCCATGCTAACTTGCTGACCGTGTTTTCTTCGTTACAAACCTCTAAAGACTGCGGTAATCCATGACTTTAAGCCAGACCTTTGTGTACGAAAGAAGTATGTACAATTCCTACTTCAGCCTTGACTGTAGAGGGATAGACATTTATTTATTTATGTATTTTGTTTATTTAGTTATTTTATGTACCTTTCCCTTATTACGACGACTATTATTATTGCTATTCTCACTCTGAATTGTTTCCGCTTGTCACACTTGTCATTCTAAATCCGAAATTATCATATTTCCTTGTTTTTTCGTTTTTACAATATTGAATTCTATCTTATCAAATTTTACACCACATTATGTAACATTTTATATTCGCCCACTAATCCTATAATTATGCACCCATTTCCTACATCTATACACCTTATGAATTATTCTATATATGACATTAATTGTTTTTCTACTTGACATTTAACTATGATTATAATTACAAATATTTTAATTGCATTTCATACTGTTATTACTTCACGTATTCACACCATTGATCTAATTCCCTCACTGGATATAATTTCTTCAAAACCATATTATATACGATTGTACAGATTGATAATGAATTCATTGAAAAGAGTCTCTTCACCGAATATTGTGTTCTTATTGTTACAATGGGAATTTTCAAGTATTGGTTTTGTAGGGATTTTGTTTGATTGTATGGAGGATTTCACCATGAGCTGACATCAGTTAGACAACCACTGGAAAACCTGGGAGTACCAGACAGCTGTTTCGTCCTAGTTTGGTACTCTTCATCAGTATGCACCCACTGGGGTTCGAACCCAGGACCTTCTAGTTACAAGGCAAGGTCGCAGACCATTGTGCCATTGGGACCCGATCCAATGGTTCTTGAATTCTACTTCGCGATGTCTTCCTCGATGAGTTAAAGAACTCAAGAACCATTGGATCGGGTCCCAATGGCTCAATGGTCTACGAGCTTGCCTTGTAACCAGAAGGTCCTGGGTTCAAACTCCGGTGGGTGCGTACTGCTGAAGAGTACCAAACTAGGACGAAACAGCCGTCCGATACTCCCAGGTTTTCCAGTGGTTGTCTAACTGATGTCAGCTCATGGTGAAATCCTCCATACAATGGGAATTACTAAATTATTGAAAAGATGAAAGAACAACACTATCCTCTGTGACCTTTATAAAATGTATTATCATGTTTATCATATGTGAATTAACGTCTTTTCCCACATGACAAATAACATACACTCACACACACATACACACTCAGACAAACAGATGTACGCAATAAAAATTCGACATTAGTCATTACAAATATATGATGACTGATTACATATTTCTATTCGTACAAATGTCTACCGAAAAGTGACCTTCAAATGAACTGACTTCAATTTATGTAAAAAAAAATTTTGACTCTATATTTTGATGATTAACAAAATCCGAATAATTCTGCTGAAGAAGCTCTGGCAGGTTACACAGCAAAAATTTCAGAGAAATCTTGTTTTGATTTTAAATAATTTATGATGATTCAATCTGAGTCGGCGCTCATTTTGTTCTAGGAAATTCGTAACATCTTCGATCTGGGAGCTTATAATCTTATTAGAAGTTAGGGTTACTGTTCGGGTCATCAAAATGTTTCTAAATCGTGATAATGATGAGAATTGTAGCTTCGGGGGGGGGGGTTAGTGAAGATTGGTGAGTATTGACAAGGGGTGTGCTATATGAAATAGGATGCTAGTGGAGACACGTGTCCAAAACATAAATTATGTAGTGGGTAGAAAGGGTTAACAAAGAGTTGGTTAAGAGACAGATGTTACTAAGATAGATGTCTCCATTAACATTCTGTTTCGTATTGCGCAACCCTTGTCAATACTTACCGATCTTCACCCACCCCGAAGTTACAATTTTGATTATTTATCACTTTTTGAAACATTTTGATGACGTAAATAGTAACACTTCCTAAATTTTATGTTTTTTTTTGACAATCCTAGTGGAAACACACGTACCCACAGAAAATGGTTATGTATAAATGTGATTGTACAATTAAGCGAATGAATTCGCCGAAGAGACTCTTCGCTGAACTTTTTTGTTGTTAATTTAGGGAGAGTCTTAAGTAATGAAGAGAGTTGATAACTAATTCATGGAATGATGAGCAATCGTTTGGAAATGTTTGACAAGTGACAAGACAACCAAAGATTGAAATTGAGTTGGATAAGAGCACAGATGGAGCTACATGGAGCTTATTAGACAGTTATTCAGGAAAACAAAGTGCGAAGAGAAAACGTAGTACTAAGGTCATGGTAGTAGAAGAACTTGCATGAAACGTTTCTGAACACAAGGTTCAGGTTTCTCTCCTTGAGGATTGCTAATGTTTCAATTGCATGAAGATGTAGGCGAAATCCTTTCGAACAATTTGGCCGCGCTTTGTATATCACTTTGAGAGATGAATCTCTGATGTGGCTGCACATCAAGAAGTAATATATATAAACACTCTACACTGCTTTGAAGTGAAGTTACGACATCTCTTTGCTAACTTATGCGTTCTTTCCCTTTTTTTGTAAATTTTTCATTCTTTTTTAAGAAAATCTGAGACAGGTTATCATACACAGTCTTGTTATTTAGTTGCTTTACAAACAAGCGACAGGTAGAATGTTTTGGATAAATAAACTAGGACTTATAGAAGTCAGTCTTACAAAAGATACCTGTCTGTCTGTCTGTCTGTTTTCGACATAGAACTTTGCACAAATGTGCGGAAGTTCAAGTCGCCACATTCCGTGTAGCACGCGAAGCAAGAGAAGAAAGTACAAGAAAAGCATAATAGAAACAGTGGGCAGAGGTGTGAGACAAAGGAGTAATAACGAAGAACAAAACAGTTTCATTGAAGATCATAAGTCACAAGGAGTGGATACATCTGCGCCACTGAGAACGATTTTGAGCCATGTCACCAATTGTTTCCAGCCATTGGTTTTTACCGTCCCGAGGACCCCAGCCTGGAAGTCTACACCTTCCTACGTGGCTTAGACCAACTGTTGTGGATTTCATTGACTGGTGCAGCCAAGTTTTTGTTTGACCGCCGCTAGCTGTTTTCCAGCCTGACCCTATATCCGCTAACATTGCTCGTCGAGGGAGGCGATGGCTTGGCATACGTAACACATGTCCTAACCATCTCAGTCTTTGTAACTTCACGACTTCGTCGAGTGCTTTCCCCTGTTTACCTAGAGCGCGACGCCTAACCTCAATATTGCTCACCTTATTATGCCACTTTACACGGGAAATAGGGCGCAGGCACCTATGATCAAAGACAGCTAGTCTTTTCATGTCTTCCACTCTCAGTGGCCAGGTCTCACAACCATAAAGGAGGACGGAGCGGACTGATGAGCAGTACACCCGCCCTTTGGTCGATAGTCGAACATCTCGTCTACGCCAGATATCGACTACCTCCAACCGTTTATCAATACGATATCTACATTGTAATCGAAGAAGTTCAAGTTGGAAAATCAGCAAAAGATATTAGACGGTTGGAGACAATCGGCACGTGCTAGCTGGTTATCTATCACCAGTTAGCAAAGCGTATCTGCAACTGCCTTGAAGGAACTCATGTCCCTTCTGAGATTTGAACCCGCCTCACTCAGTAAGCAGTGCAGTCAAAGGTGTCATCAGTGAGTTACTCAGGCTCGCGACTGCCCACCTGTAGGACTGTACTGTGCTTTGTTGACGAGTGCTAACTAGCACAGAACCTAGGTGCAGCCAAAGCTTCCTGTCGCGATTGCTTCCAACCATCCAATATCAACAATTCAAAGTGTACCGAGATGGTGAGCCACCTAAAATGGTGGCCACATTGCTAACTTCTCTGACAGAATCCAGACAAACTATACCAGTTGCTGACTGGTATCTAATCAAAATAAGCAATGAAAGAAAAAGTTACATCATCATAATCAATTAACTGGACATTGACACTGGACATTTTCCTTCCAAAACGAGGAAACGAAAGTGGAAAATTTATTAGTGTTTGCATGAGTTAAATTAACGGGAGATCAATCGTTATCCCGAATAGCTCAGCGGTAACGTCTCTCACTACATCACTGGTTGGCCAAGGTTCGAACCTCAGAAGGATAATGAATTCCTTCAAGGTTGCAGAATACCTTGCACGAAACCTAGGTTCAAAGACTTCTGCCGACTACCTCCAGCCATCTAACAATCAATGAATTTGCATCGAATGATGAACACTATTCAACATACTTTAAAGGGTCAAGCTAAATAAAGAAAAGGTGAAATTGGATGTAAAATGCGCCCAGTTTAACTACGATGGGTTGCATTATTCCTCAATTTTTTCTTACATTCAGGAATATACAGTCTTTATACATAAAACAGTAGTCCCACCTTACTCATGATTCAGTAACTATGCTCACTTTTATAAAAAAAACTCAGACGACCTAAGTGATAAGCAGGATACATTAACTTCACTCAATATCTGAAATAGAACTTTGCTGACGTTATTATGATATCATTAAATGAAGATATTTCTGTAGCGGAATAAATCGTTGACTAGAAACCTTCTTTATGCCTTCATCAATGGTTTGATAGTAAACTTACTAACCGTAAGTTTGTATAACTCGGACATCAATTAGACTGGGGTAACCCACGTTCAAATATTAGACACAGAGGAAACATCAAGAACGGCAGAGAATTTTTAGAAGCCTGGTATTATTTCAGTGAATGGTCGATCAATAGACACATTAATATAGACAAAACTTACTAATCGATAAGATGGAAATCTCACGGACAAAGGGTCAAACAGCCTAGGGGGTGTGAAACAAACAAAAACAACCAATCACGGTCAAGGTCACACACCAGGAAAGATGACCAATAAACTCGTGGAGAAATCTAAAAGCTCACTTCAACAAATTGCCTAGTAGTAGAGGGCAATGAAAGCTTCGCAAATAAAAAACAAAGAAATCATCAAAAAGTTGAAAGGTCGTTATGTAAGTAAAGTGGACTTGAACAAATAAACGTCTATAGCATAATCTACTACAGACTAATACACGGACACATACACGCACACAACCACATTTTAAAAGAAAAACACACACACGATGGTGTTGTACACATATTAATTTATAGAAAAATTTCGATCAATGAAAATCACAGGAAAGATAAAAGAACACAAATGAATAAGGTATAAACAAGGCTCTTTAAAATATTATTTTGAAGGAAGAAAGAACTTACAATTACAACAGTTGTTGACAGATTTAAAAGCGAAATGACCATTTGAAAAAATAATAAATAAATCAATAAATTAATAAAACAAATATTATTGAAATATCACAGAGATCAGGGAAAAGTTCTCATGACATCACATTTAATATAACATGTCACTACACAACGCTTGATGTACACACACAACAATAGATGATGATGATAATGCTGACTACCGGGTCAATATAGACGGAAGGGAAAAAAACGCCGACGGAACGGAAGGGAAACAACACTGGCTTAGAATAGCCAGCAATGTAATAAGAGTAAATGTATAAAAACAAAATAGATTAGACATATCAATACTGGCTTAGGTCTTGGCTGACTTTGTAAACGAAATGAAGTATACCGTATGCCGCTAGATATTCTGGAAGTCACTTGTTTACTGAGTAAAGCCAAATATTTCAGCCAAATTAATATACGATCATTCATTTGCACTATACGAAAGAAAAAAAACAAATAGTGATGATAAGGCAAAAACGCATCATTTAGTGCCCGTAACACGGTCTGTCTATCGTATTCAAAGAGTAATGTGAAATATAAATGATGATCTTACAGTCTGTTTTACGTAAAACCACATGCTACATATCACTACGACGAAATAAAAATAGTACATATTAGAGAGCTATTAAACTTTCTCATTTCTTGCTGTTTGACTTGGTAGGACAGAAGAGACCGATCTTAGTTAGACGAAATGACTCGATGATACTTCAAATCAACTGTCATCAAGATTTGACAGAATAGTTCTAAAATATTTGGGCGCCAAGTGAGAAGTAGACATTTGTAAAAAATTATATTTGTAAAATCTCAGCGAGATTGACATGATTAGTTCCAACTTTTCCTGCGTTCGGCAATCTGGTTCGAACTTCTTCAGAAAAATTAATCGAAATTAACATAACAGACGTTTATATATAAAAGCAACATCTCTTGTTTTTAAATATAATTTTTTGACAAATGTCTACTTCTCACTCGGCGCCCAAATATTTCAGAACTATTCTATCAAATCTTGAAGACAGTTCATTTGAATTAAATTGCAATTGAATTAAATTAACAAAGAAACTATGTAATTGGTACAATCATCGTGTTTTCACTCTCCATTGTCTGCAACAGAATGCGTATCTTAAATCCGTAGCTGCCCAGTCACCTGACAACTCCAGTAAGTCGAATAAAGCAGCTCAATCTTCAGAAAAAAAGGCAAAGCAATAAGTCTGACGGGGTGCTTCAATTAAAATCTAATCCTAAACACCATAATTTCGAAAATAAGTCTAATCATAAAATTCGAAATACTAACAGTTTGAACAGACATGAAGGTGTGATGTTAGCTGAGGCATAGGAAATCCTGATTAATAAATAAGAATGGATATGTATCACTAATTAATAATACTTGGTCAAAGTTCCCGACTGTCTATATCATCTTCTGGAGACGTTGAGACATTGTTTTACAACTGTTTACCCGCACACACATAGACACACACTATGTTTAAAGTGTTTAACAAACGTAGACCAATATTTATAGGTCCGAGGTCAAATTTCGAACACAGCTCATACAATTTTGTTTATTATACAAGTTGATACTTGTTTTATGACTCATGAATTGACAAAGTTTTTAAAAAACGAGAGATGTTCCTTTTTAGATTGAAACCTCTGTTATGTTAATCTCGATTAATTTCCGCAAAGAAGTTCGTACCAGATTGCCGAACGCAGGAAACGTTGGAACTAATCATGTCAATCTCGCTGAGATTTTATAAATATAACGTTTTTTTACAAATGACTCGGTTATACGTTTGATTTCATCCATTACATACAGATATTGATATGCTGTCATGAAGTGGTCAAAATGTATACCACATGTTTTTAAAGTCATTCTGAATTGACCATTCAATGATGAAATAGCTAACGATAAGACCGATCACAACTGAAAAACAAGTTGACTCGGTAACAGTAGTCATGCTAGTGCTTTTCACGACAAGTCATAATTAAAGTATTTGGCTGCCTAAACCATGGTGAATATAAAAAGGACTCGAAACCATAGCTCACTTGATTAAAATTATAGATTTTATGCAGTTAAAATGATTTTATATCAAGTTTATACAGATAGAATGGCTGTATATGAGGTTAGTGAATACCTGTATTGAAAAACGGGATGTCATTTGGTCAAACGAATCTTATTGTACTCATGCGATGTTATTATTATGAAAAATAAACTGTAATATATCCAAGAAGTTTGATCACAAATTGACATCAGTTAGAGAACTGTTGGAGTACTGGATAACTGTTTCGTCCCGCTTTGGAAGTCATCAGCAATGCGCGCCCACTGGAGTTCAAACCCAGCACCTTCCCATTACAAGGCGAGCGCGTAGACAATTCAGCCCCTGTGACTGATCCAATGGCCTGCATATGAATTCCAACTTCTGCCGATTCGCGATATTTACAGGGCAATCCGTCAGCCAGAAAATATCATAGGCGAGTAACTGATCGCCTATCACCTGACCTTGTGGTAGTGGTCCTGGGATAGTGATATGTATCCATTTATATATATATATATATATATATATATATATATATATATATATATATATATATATATATATATATGTTGGTCTCTCTTTCTGTTTGCTCGCTTAGTCTGTGACCATTTCACTTGTATGAACCTGTCTCCTTTAACAATGTATATTCCCCTTATATTATATATAATATGTGTTTGTTGACAGTCCGTTGCTTAGTGACATATATCCATATATGGTGGTTGTTGACATGTCTGCTATATTTTGCTATATATATATTTCGTTCTCACAATTTTTGTGACTAACTTACCACTTTTGCATTCTCCTTGTGTTTGGAAAATAGAAGTATCATCGCAAACCTAGTGGTCTTCTGATTTCCGCCTTCTTGCGTCAGGACTATTAGTTTCTCGACCAGTACATAGCAATAATTTAGCGACGAGTACATAACAATTTGGCGACGGGGTAAACTACAATTAACCACTCAGCATCAGCAACATAATAGATAGAACCCTAGTGAGCACATATTGATGAAGAGCTTTGGACTAGGACGGAACGGCCGCCCAGTACTCCTAGGTTTTCCAACAGTTCTTTAATTGATGTCAATTTGTGATCAAATCTATGACCAATCATATCCCTGCAAACCAATACTTGATATATCCAATAAACAAATCAATATGTAACAATTTTTAGGCAGTTTCAAAAGAAATTAACAGGAACTACAGCTAGCGGCAGCATTGACTAGCGTTTGTTCCAGGGGCTATGAAAAAGAAGTTAGAACCAGTAGTGTGATTTCATTCGGGTCCTCATAGATTCACGGAAGAACCTGAGTTCACTTCAAACGCATTAGGGTTGGAACTTCATGATTTTTAAGTACATCTGTCAGTATATTTGTATGTCAGCAATAGACTATACTAATACTACTATTCGTTTACCACCTAAACGTCTCAAAAACACTTGAAAGTAACTGCTATGGTGAATTCTTATTGATGAACACAGGCGTTACTAATGGTTTATAGTTAAATAGACAATAAAATGAGGATTATAATCTTACCGAGTCGATTAGCACAGTTTGACCTCATGAAAGACGAACGAATAAATGATTGTGTTGGCTCGTAGGATTGAAGAAGCCCTTTCAAATCAACAATAGCTGAATCAACTGTATAGTGAGATGTTAACTTTGATTCTTGAAACTGTTTTGAAATTGTTTGTGGTACTCTGAAAAAAAAGAGAGATCGTATAGGATAATTTATTTATAAGATCAAAATCGAATATACAGTGCGTTCTGAGTGAAACAAAGGGTTTCAGCAAAATATCTGCATCACACTCGTTCTTCTGGCATCACTTCCAACTGTCTCCAAGATCGCCCAATTAATTTTATTTCTCTCCCCACGATCCCCTTCATGTCACCCTCAGATACATAACCGTGTGCTTTCCATTCGGATTCCCTAAGACAGCCTGATATGTAATGGAGTTCTGATCAGCGTATGTCTGATCTATCTTTATTTCTTAAGATATATATGTTGAGCAATACGGTCATGATTGGTTCCCTGCATGAGTTCCTTACTGCTCATCTTTCCGGTCATCTCATGTTGAATATCAACAGAAGACAGGTGTTTAAATGTCCCCACCCCCCAACCCGTAGGGAATTATTTCGTCTTTCAAAGTTCGCCTGTCTCATGATCTATATATCTGTTTAATTCCTAAGGCTGTTGCACAAGATGAACGTCTAATAAGGTGATACACTTCTTGGCGAATTTCTATGTTAGTCTCACTTTCAGTCTTCTTTTATACTTTTCAACACAACGGCTAAATTTCTGAACTCCAATTTCTGCATTTATTTCCACTTCGACAATATCATGAGACGAAAAAATTTTGTTTTGAAAAATTTCCGCCATATTTAATTTACATATCATTCTTAAATTTGAATTTAGTTAATATATAATCAGTTCACAGGGTATATCTATTACATATTAGATGGTTGGAGGTGATTGACAGGTAGCGTTTGAAATAGGTTTCGTGCTTTTTGAAACACATCATCAAGGCGTATCTGCAACTGTCTTGAAGGAACTCATATCCCTTCTGAGATTCGAACCTGTGTTACTAACAACTAGTATCCAATCAAAATTGTCCAATACAGTCCTACAGGAGGTCAATCGCAAGCCCGAATAGCTCAGTGGCTGGTTACGTCTCTGATTACAGCACTAGGTGACGCGGGTTCGAATCTCAGAAGAGAAATGAGTTCCTTCAAGGCAGTTGCAGATACGCCTTGCTGACTGGTAAATGGCAGCCAACTAGCACGAAATCTAGGTGATGTCCGATTGCCTCCAACCATCCAATAACAACAATTCAAAGTGTACCATGATGGCGAGCCACCTAGAATGGTGGCCACATTGCAAACTTGACTGACAGAGTTCAGTCTGCACGAAACAGGGGACTAGATACATTACACTAGTTACTAACTAGTGTTCAATCAAAAGTATACGTGTTAGATCCCAGTATTGACACGGTCCCTAATTTCCCTTCTAGAATGTCTGCAAAATAGTGAAATTATATTGAAGGGAGCATACTTTTTTAAATATCCCACCATTCTGAAACGACCCCGCATAAGGCGAAGAACTTAACTACGTATTGATTTTATGGAATCATACAAACAGTGAAGAATTCAAGTAAATTCATCTGAACTATAAAGCTGCTTATGCATATAATCCAGAGAATGCAGTGAATCCATAGTGTGCGTCGGTGGCACAGAGATGGAATGCTCGCCAACCACGCCTCATGTGGTCCGGGGTTCGATCCCTGGCCAACGACGCACCCTTTACCTCGCTAAGCCAGTAATAAGACTGGTAAAGAGGGAAGGTTGGGCCTGAGGCTAGGAACCCCAACATGTAAACATAAGTATCATTGCTACCGAAACATCAAGCCCTATGTTCCACTGGGAACGTAAAGGAATAAAAAAAGGAAAAGTGCATCTGTGTATTTTTGTAAACAACACATGAAATTGGCAATTCGTCTTTATTAAATTAGCAGTAGAAATTAAGAACTTACGACGATTTTGGCTCAGGTACACATTTACCAGAATCTGAAAATGTAGGCTTTTGATAGGTAGGACAATACTTCTCAAGAAGTGATTGGCATTTATGCAATTCTTGTGTACGTTCATACAACGATTCTTCAAGTAAAGTAACCTATTTAATTTGAATTCAGAAATCAGTGGTAAAGTAGCGTTTTTTTCGTAGAAAATTGAAAACAGAGCTGTATAAGTTACCAGAACCAAAAAATAAGTGATTTATGCCTGCCTATGATACCTTTAACTTTATTCATAAAATAGAAAAGTTATAAGTCCGATTAGTAACCAACATAAAACATATGCACAAAGATAATTCATCGAAATGTCGATAATTGAAAACGATTTTTCAAATGGTCTCACCTCAAGAGACACTTTGAAGCAGATAAACTCTCAAATGACTTGATCATATCATGAAATTCTAGGTGAAAACTAGCAAACCTTTCATATTTCGGTAACGCGCTTCAAAAGAAGTCTACTTTTCTGCCTTATCTCCAGAGCTGGTTTTCAATGGTTCTCTAACTGATATCAATCCGTGGTCAAACTCGTAAAAATAAATCTAATTCTTACAAACCAACTCTTCAAAATTAATCGTATACTCCCAAGAGTACGAGGACTACCTTTAACTATAAAAGAAATAATATAAGAGATTCTATTAACGAGTCACCTAATGGTTTTCCATATATTACATGAAACTAACATTTAGACAAACAAACTCAAATTCAGTCATTCAGGAAGCTGTAAGAACAAATCCGTAACTGATATGAACGGGGGGGATAAAGCTTTGCAGATTTCAAGATCGTTATCCCCTGGAATGAGTTAGAATTCCAAACAAAAGGATCATCAATGAGAAACATAATGACCATGAAGATTTAAGGATCTATGTTATTAAAGCAGTGATCAGATTAGTTCATGGATTTTGAGTAGTGAGAGTAGTCGATATCCGGCATCAATTGGCTCCTAACATTCAATAGGCTTGAGACTATCAGTAATTGTTTTTGAAAATAAAATATAACACTAACCTGTTCATCTAATCCGTCAATAGATTCTTTTAAATGTGCACGCTCTACAATTGCATGAGATAATCGTTCTCTTAGAGTAAGAAACTCTGCATTGCTTGACTTCAATTGATCCATCGCCATAGCTGCTTCCTCTTCAGCTGCTTTCAGCCGACGTAACAATAAAGAATATGAACAGTCTTCTTCACCGGCAGGTTCATTCAAACTACTTAAATCAGAATGTTTTAAGTCATTAGCTGACGACTGCACTAAAGCTTGACAGTTGGCGACAGTAAGAGCTTCAGATTTCTTCATAGGAGACGATACTACGGATTCCAATGAATTGTATTTAGACGTAGACGTATGAAGATCATTCGGCATGGCTTTCAAAACAGCTGACTCACTTACGCCACCACCATATCTCATAATTTCACCCATTAATGATATTTCACCCGCTAGATTGGATTCAGTTGGTAATATGTCACCATCTATAGGAAAAATGTTTAAATGAGAGTTAATTTACTGGAACAATAGGTGATGATTATCCGATTGTAGTGAGAGCTGGCTGTTAGCCAAAGTTGGTGGACAGTAATTTACGTCAATGTTTATGTCCCCAACATTGGTCGTGAGAAAAATGAGAACAAAGGCTTTGCGTAGGCGGATGCAATTAAACATATAAATGATCTGACATTCAAGAAACAGCCACAAAGAGATGCAAGGTTAACTTTCTGTGAGAAACAACCAATCAGAGGACTGTGTTCTTCTACTAACAGTAATCTATATTATGTACATGAAAATTCATAAATATGTGTTGGTTTCCTTAATAAACGATCTGTTGCCTGGCCCTTGTGTTCTGTTGTTACAAGATGACTGAGAACTGTGACTTTCAGTGAGTGAGCAAGGTATCATTCAAACAGATATATGTAAATTAAAAGATAGCACTGTCTCAATTCAAGGTGTAAACTAATTCATCTTGTTGTACTTCTCAAAAGCACAAAGAAGTCTTTTAGCGGTACCCAAAATGAGTTAAAGCACAATAACCATTGGTTATGAATTTTTCTAGGTCACACAACTTGTAGTGAAAAGATGGTAGATTGGACATAAAGAACACAAAAAAAACTACGGAAAACGAAAGTACAAATAAAAATGTAGAGTGTAATGACAAGAAGTGAACATACGTATCACCCAGATTCCTTTCAAGCTATCAATTAGATGATTCAAGCATCCATTGACATGATTTCCAGGACACCTGACGTTGAATACCCATGAATTTATGCAATGATCACTTTCTCAAGTTTTTCCACCTTAGTCTTTACCCTAATTAACATCACATATCAAAATAACATAAGCTACAGATGTCTGAATTACTACATATTTAAAATTTAGTGAGTTTATTGCTTTTCCTGGCCAAGATGCCATATCTATGAATATTTTAGGATATTAGTCTAAAAATGTTATATATCCACGAGTTAGTTTGTAAGGGTTTGATTTGTTTCAAGTTTGACCATGGACTGGCATCGGTTAGAGAACCATTGAAAATTTGGTAGCAATGAACAGCTGTTTCGCCTCAGTCCGGGACTCTTCAGCAATACACGCCCACCGAAGTTCGAGCCCAGGACTTCTTCGGTTACAAGGTATACTGCTGAAGAGTCCCAGACTGGGACGACACAGATGTCCAGTACCTCCTCGTTTCCAATGGTTCTTCAACTGACACCAATCTGTGATCGAAAATGAAATAATTATATAGTTTGAGAGCTCTACATCGATCAGAGGGACTCAATCGATGGTAAACAAAATCACTTCTATAACAGAAATATAAATCGAGTCATCTGAGAATAATTGCTAACTAGCCTTCAGATTTAAGTAAGTTCGAGTACATAACCTTTAAGTAGTATAGTCCGCTTCGTTACTTGGGAAAACAAATGGGTTTATGCTATAGGACTACACTAGAAATTTGTTTACAAGCAAAAACTGACAAACTGGTCGAAAAAGCAGAGGGCGAAGACAGGACTCCAAGTGAACATAGACAAGACGGAGGTTATGAAAATAACCAACCAACAACAACAACAACAGCAACATTCAGCGTTAATCACCATCAACGGGAGGGATTTGAAAGAGGTTACTTCATTCACTTATCCCGGGAGCATTGTCTCAACTACAAGCAGTCGGAAGGGACAAGGATGTCAAATCGAGCGAGAATCGGGAAGGCGAGAAACACATTCATCAACCTGATACAATCTGGAAATCTTTGTCATTCAGCATCAACAACAAAATTCGGTCGGATTTTCAATATAAACGTCAAGTCAGTTCTTCTATACGGATTGGAAACTTGGCGGGCGGGTCACAAAGAATATTTCCATCAGCCTGTTGCAGACCTTTATCAACAACTGTCTTCGCTATATGCTTCACCAAAAAGAAACTATAGGAACAAACAAAACAAGAGCCAACCGCCAACCAACAAATATGCAGGAGAAAGTGGAGATAGATTGGACAATTGTTGAGGAGGTCACCGCTGAGTGACATCGCGCGTCAGGCCCATCGAGTGGAACACGAAGGGGAAGCGGCGATTGGGACGTCCAAGGGTGACACGGAGGAGATCGTGTGAAGAGGAGTTGAAAGAGTATGGACTAACATGGATGCAGGTGAAAAGTACAGCGGAAGGAAGACAGAAGCAAGTGGAGACGTGCAGTTGAAGCCCTATGTTCCACTAGGTACCCAAGGGAACAGTAATAAAATAACAATAATAAAAATTTGTTTCTATTCACCGAAAAATATGACATTTCACGAAAATATCACAAGCATACAACTTACTCATGAGGAACGATTCAGTTTGAGTGGATTTGCATTTAAAAACTGGTATGTTTATCAAACTATCTGTAAGCGTATCTACAGGATTAATAGCTGTGTCCACTTTCAAAACATTGTCTTCAGGATAAACACAACTTAATATATCCGTCTGGGTAAAGCTATCCAAAGTTTTACGGATATAATTTTTGTTTTGCGCATTGATACAATTCTCAGACACGGCATTGTTACACTTTATATTCATATTGCCTTGATCTGTGATCAAATCAGGAATAGGATTCATTTTCGATTGTTTTCGTTGTAGTAGATCATTAAGACGTTGGAGTTTTTGACAATTTGAACAGCTTACAGTTTCTGGAGAGTTTGTGCTTTCTAAACCATTAGCCTTATTAGACGAGACATTTTGAGATAAAAGCCGATTCAATTGGATTCGAAGAGCTCGTGCATCTGAAGTCACCTCCGCCAATTGACCACGAAGTCTGGAAGCTTCACGATCAGCATCTTCTCTTTGATGCACTATATCTAACCGTAATTGATTTAGTTCATTTTGAGAAATTGACAATTTCAGTTTTAAATCATCAATACTAAGATTATCCATATTTTGTAGTTCATCATGGGTCTGCAGGTTCTTTATTTCTTTATTAGCAGAACTGTTCATAAGAGCTATAAATAATGCGTAAATATTTAATGAATAATTATAAAAGCTTAACAAGGGGTTAAAATTTTAAACAGTTGGTTTCTAAGGGTTATTCTTATTTTTACGAGTTTGACCACGGATTGATATCAGTTTGAAAACCATTGAAAATTTAGAAGTCTTGACCAGTGAGGTCCATCCAGTCAAGTGCGCGGATAGATTTCCCACTGATGACATTGGTTGGTGGTCACACTAAATTACGAATTGGTAGCAGTTAGAATTCGTGTGCTGAATGGGATACGAGCTAGCTTGCCTTGTAACCAGAAGGTTTTGGGTTCGAATCCTGGTCTGTCTGTCTGTTTTCGACATAGAACTTTGCACAAATGTGCGGAAGTTCAAGTCGCCACATTCCGTGTAGCACGCGAAGCAAGAGAAGAAAGTACAAGAAAAGCATAATAGAAACAGTGAGCAGAGGTGTGAGACAAAGGAGTAATAAAGAAATACAAAACAGTTTCATTGAAGATCATAAGTCACAGGGAGTGGATGCATCTGCGCCACTGAGAACGATTTTGAGCCATGTCACCAATTGTTTCCAACCATAGATTTTTACCGTCCCGTCCTGGTGGTGGGTAGGTACTGCAAACGATTCCCAAACTAGGATGAAACAGCTGTGCAGTACTCCCTGGTTTTCAATGGTTCTCTCACTGATATCAATCCGTATTCAGACGCGTACAAACATAAGGTTCAAAACCAAAATTAAAGCACTTTAAGCATTTACACGAAGTGATACTTTTCTATCATGTGAAATGAAACCTGTTTTAACCAGTGATGATACTTTCAGGAAATATATGTCGCTTATATGGACCTACACAACGATCAGCTCTCAAAACCGAGTGCACTAAGTATTTGACGATTTCCTACCCTAGTTCAGCGCCATTTGCTTTGGAGAGAGCTGGCTGCAAACCGAAATTATAGACAACAATTTATGTCAATGTTTACCTCCCGAATCGGGATCATGAGAAAAAACAATAACAAAGCTTAACCTTGAGGAACTCGACAACCAATCACAACAGACTTAGTGTGGGCAAATACGATTCGCAGATATATGGCTTAACTTTCTGAGAAACGGTCAAAAGCAGCACACAACAACCTTTAGCAAGAAGACAACCAATCAGAATACGTTGCTTCTCCCCTGACAATAATGTAGATAAAAATCTATAAATATCTGTTGCCTCGCCCTTGTCTTCTGTCGTTACAAGGTGATTCGCCTAAACTGTGTAACTGGTGACGTATGAAGAGAACCAAATCTAGAAGGTGAATACTTTCATTTCATTTCTGTATATCAAGAAAATATGGATGCCTTCATCTCAGGAGACATTCCAGTCAATTACAAGTATGTTACGAATATGAATAGCATCAAGCTGATAATCACACATGCAGAAAGAAACGTTTAGAAAAAACTGAGCACAGAATACCCTCTTAGATAATTCCCTCTTCTGGCTCTACAATCATATATGTGTCTATATGCATACGATATTCTAGAATAACCGCCATTAAAATAATAGCTCAGGTGAGTGATTTTGAATTAGTTGCGTTCTCTGAGCTAGTTGATTTACTCATAAACGAAACTGTGTGCAGACATTGTTTAAAAGAATTCAAACACACTGTAGCACTACTCCTGGTTTGAAGAGAATGGAGGAAAAATACCTACTAACTGTCTTCAAAAAAAGAATGGATATCCTCACAATTTCATCAAAAAGCGTTTAAAATCGAGTCATAACATCAACAAGAAACCGTCATCAAAGACTACAAGAAAATTCATCCTACCATATATATGAAAAATATCTCTGAAATAACAGCTAGAACATTAAAACCGTTTGAAACAGATATAGCACATAAGCCAGCCAGCACAATCACTTCATTTTCGATATTGTGAAAGCCGAAAGATCCATAAGAAAAAGAAGATAAAATTAATGCCATTTACAAAATAACTTGTATGAACTGTAACAGACATTACATCGGTCAAAGTGGGCGTCCCCCTGGAATCAGAATCCAAGATCACAAATCGGCCGTGAAAAGACATGATATATATTCTTTCATATCGATTCATGTGGATAATTATGAACACCAATTTGATTAGAAGATAATGTTGAAATTTTAAATAGAGGAAAGACCAAAAGTGCCAGAGAATTCCTAGAAGCCTGGTATACAAGTCAATCGGCAATTAACAAACACACTACAATTTACACCAAATTTACCAGACAATCAAAAGTAAATCATACGGCAATAAATTTCAAATTTCATGTCAATAGAAATGATCAATAGAGATGTAAATCAACTACCAGTCACGAATATGGTTACCAGGAGACACAATTACATCATTTATGGAGAATTCAACTGAGTTCATTTTATACCCAAACCTGCGCTGAAGATGTTGTGCAGAAGGACAACGAAAGCTTCGCAATTAAATCAACTAGCTGAGAGAGCACAAGTAATTCAAAATAATCGTCATTACCAATATTGGTGTTTTTTAAATAATAGCGGCTTGTTAAGTAAGATCAGTGGAATCACAGTTCACTAAAGATGCATAAATTATAATAAGCATAAAAATGTAATAGCAAACAGAATATCAAATAAAATTAAGGAAATTTCCACAACAAATTGAGGATCATTAGAACCTTGATGGTCAGCGGAATAAGGACAGTGTCTAAACCAACCAACTTCTTTTGGATATATAAGTTAGGCTTCTTAATGTCGATCCCAATGGCTAGCCTCAGTAATATTTAGTAGACGAACTCTAAATGTGAAGTTAAGATAAGTTGGTATGCGGTAGATAACTTTGAAGGCCTCTTTAACATCAATCTTGTGTTCTATCTGCACGAGATGAGATAGAATAGCGCTATGAATGGATTTTGTTTGCTGAATTCTTTTTCTAAATGTCTGAATGAGTATTTTCGCTATATCACACATTTGTTAATGAACTAGGAAACAAAGAACATTTAATGTTCAATGAGATGTTACTACCTGGTTACCAAAACCTTGTTAGACAAGGACGACGAGTTCGAATTTGTGACACATTGGTTGACAGCTGACTGTCTGAACCAATGTGTTACAAGATTACTAAGTAACGCATACACCAAGGGCAGAATGGGAAAATCAACTCAGACAAACGCAAATTCAGTCTCTAACAAATGAAAACATGAGAATTAACAGTTTTATCAATAAAATAATGCTTAAAACATGTAGTGTAAAGAACAACAGTATTTAGTGAAAATGCTACGGGTACCAATAAGAACAGTGAAACCATCATCAGAACATACCTCGCATATTTTGACTTAACGAAGTCGATGTGATCAGGTTAGCCTTACTAACCAATAATTTGTATTGCTCTAACAATGCAGTTGTTTTAGCTAGCTGGTTACGCAAATTAGCAGTTTCCATTGCAGATCTACGTTTGTGTGCTTCAAAATTTGTCTGATGATAACGAATAGTATCCACGCTGGCATCAAGTTCACTGCCTACATGATCCAGCCGTTCTTGTAGTTGATCCATACGTGTTTTCTGTGTTGAACGATATCTTTTCAAGCGATCTAACTGACTCAGAGCGTTCAGTAAGGCTTCTTGTAATTCTGATTTAACTGGTTCATCAGATTCTGTGCACGAAGAATGTCTCAAGGTTCGATTAAGCACATTTCTTGGGCTAACTAGACCATATTTTAGCAACTAAAAGTGGAATATCCAGATAAAGAACAAGATAAGGTTGATGAAGTAAACTAATCATTGTGTATATCAATAAAAACAAACATTTAATGCGTAAAGATATCTATAATTTACACGTAATAAAAAAAACGGTAAGTCAAATAATTAGCACAGAAATGTGTAAATTTGAATCAAGCTCCATAAACGACCTGGTACGGCTGAGGGTGCGTATACTTTGGCCTTCCTCTCCAAAATGCTCTTAGACTTGCTAATTTCTTGAAGGAATCCAAGTGTCTATCTATAATAGTATTAACGAGTTGATTTAGCAACACCCCACTCACCCTACTGACGGCTTTTAGTGCCCTACGCAGTACAACAAAGACGGAATGATACCAGATTGTCTTCACTTCCTTACATAGAAAGTCAAACGAAATATCTTTCTAGAAACTAAAATAATGTGCAAAGACCAGGAAAGGTGATCAGAGGAAATACACACTCATCGGTAGCACAGCGGTTAGGACTCTCGCCGACCATGCACATGGTCCGGGGTTCGATCCTCTGCAGATGCATACGTAATATCATTGGTCGGCCCGCAAAATTTGGGCTACCGATATCACATGCTGAGAATTCCATACTTGTACCAAGAATAAGGTGTGGAACCAAGCTATAATCAAAAAATATATATGACCACACGTTTATAGCTTCTGGCAGATATGTCCTATTCATTTCCTTCGAACGCCGAGAGTTTCCTTCACACAAATGAAAATGAGTGTTTAAAAAAGTCTGGCGCATACAACCAGAATGGGGAGCTGGAGGACCCTGATTTCAAACCTGTGGTGTCCGTAGACTCCAGAATCCAACTGAATCGGATGGCGTGTGAATCTGGTTTGGCCACCGACAACCATGAAAATGCAACTTCTGACACGGCTCCAGTGTCTTAAGGATCAGACTTCAAGGCAAGAACTCGGCGGGTGGTCTTTTAAGCCAACTACCTCCCTCGGTCTGGGCATCTGAAGAGTATCCCAGCCCTCGAACAAGCGGTCCTTTTAACTATTCCGCGGCATATTTGTTTCACCCTACACGTAAGTTATGTAGGTTTACTTCCAATGTAGTGCAGGCATACTGTCTAGCATAATCATTCCACGTTGTAACCTGCAATTGAACCTAAACCAAACTACAGATGAATTCCGCACCAGCCGGACAACAGGAGAACAAAAGTCTTCAATGTATAGATCGATGGTGAGAAACAATACAAAGTGGAAACTGTGAAAACAACGCTGAGAACTAAAGACATCTATCTAAGTGTTAGTTTACTTGAATCAATTTATTTGGTAAACTCATGATTTATGCGGACAAAGGAGAATGATGCTCAGGAAGGATTCGTGTGCTCTTGCAAGTTGTTGTTACTTCCCGGCTGCCCACACCGTGGAAGTTGATTGATTTTTAGGGTACCTAAAACACAGAGAGAGGGTTAGTGTTGCATGACCACAGAGCCCAGAGGACAACTGCTTGAGGCCGGTCACACACGACCTTTATGAACTGGTTTCTGGGATTGGTTCCATATTAGTAAACTTACCGCCGGTTACGGACCACCGTAGGTAGGGTAAGTCGGGATGTGCAATTGTTGGGGTCGATCTTTTCTAACCCCCTCTCCAGAGTGGAGAGACATCATAACTGGCTAACATGCTGGTCATCTGAGGGGAACACCTCACTGCTGTTACACCCCTGTTCCCCAGCAGTACGACTTCGCCCTTAGACCCCCAGCATAGTGTAAGAAAGATTCTTACATTGCGCCGGTAACTGTTTTTAGTCTAATCGCTATCCTAACAACCTTCCTGACATGGTAGAACCTGCAGGAACATTGGTTCCAGCCAGTGCAGCTTGTTAGGTCATTGCGATGTGCAAGCCCGATCACCACGTCAAGGTAGCAGCTATCGGTCGGGTATGCGGACAAAAAAATGCAATGACAAAGGGGTCACTACAAAACTCTATAAAAAAAATCAATTTCTGAAAATATTAAATACTTACGGTTTCATAATTAACTACTTTCCCTGTAGCGTTCTTACATCCAGTATTTTCTAAACTGCCTGACGCTAATTGCTTCAGTGTTTCATTCTTCGTCGAAGAATCTGTTTGAACAGAAGTATGCTTAGCACTTGAAACAGTGTCATAATATGTTTTAAGACTTTCTTCTAATCTTTGCTGAAATGCATAAATAATTTGTACAGTATCTGATGTTTCTTGTTCACACTGAAAAGCAAGAGAATGAACATGTTTCAACTGGTTAGAAGTTGATGTCAGATTTGAGCACACGTCTAGAACATCAGGACCAGGTACCAATTGACTTGCTGTTGATAAAGTAACAGAAACTGAATCACCGCATTGATTCAATTGATTGCTTAACGACGCTAATTGTATATGGTCAGTTGAAAGACGATTGTATAACACGGAGATAATTTTCAAGCAGGCAGTTAACTGTGACCGTAAATCTTTACTTTCAAACAGTTCATCAAGACTTAAAGCCTTTGAGTGAGAGTTATTTGGAATTTCTAGTTGCTAGAAATGAAGAAAAGTGTTAAAGTAAAGCGGAAATTAAAGACTGATCATTATAACACAGAATGCAAGAAAATCTTTACAATGGGACAGGATTTTCGCGGTCAATAATAAAACTTCTACTATCAATATAGTTGACCAATGTCTCAAGAATGTTCAATTTCTTTTTTGATTACAGCTTGATTCCACACTGTATTTTTGGTACAAGTATGGAATTTTCAGCATGGATATCGGTAGCCCAAATTTTGCAGGCCGACCATAGATATCAGGTGTGCGTCGGCAGGGGATCGAACCTCGAACCATGTGCATGGTTGGCGAGAGTCCTAGCCACTGTACCACCGACGCACAGCCGTTTTATCACATGAAAATCAAAATAAGGTTGTTTTTAGACTAGAAAGTAAAGCAGAAAATATCGAACAGTAGACGTGTAGACTTCAGTAAATTTGTTGCTACCACCCGGTTCAAAAACCTTGATACGGTAAATAATACAATATTTACCGCATAACTGCCCAGATATCTGAAATGATCACAGATTATCCAGCGATTTAATCGTAACAATAATTAATCATAATTTATTGAGATGATCTTGCAAAGAAACACTCAAAATAATCAATGATATGGTAAATCCAGTATTTGCTTCAATCTCTGATACTATTGAAAGAATGATGTCACAAACCATTTCTAGTAAATAACTAGTGTAGACTAGAAAGAAAGTTTCCATACTTTGAATTCGACCTATTTCGACTTCTCCTTTCATTAATATCGGTTACTGGTGCAAAATACAAGATTAGTATCTAGGATGTGTGATATGGCTCACTGAAAAAGAGAGCCCAGTTCGCCTAAGTAGGCAGTAGGAAATCGGATGACCTGAACTAATTCGGCTCTCTGAGATGATTTAAACCCGGCTCACCGTTAACATATGTGAAAAACTTGGGCACTGTGTTTGTAAGTAATCCCATATTGGTTTGTTTATTAGATGTAACACACAGTAAAACAGTATTATTTACTGGATGATGTTTCCAACTGGAAAGTCAGGAAGGGGGACTTCATCCAATGTTAGGTTGTAGGGCAAAAAGTTAAACACTAGTGTTTACAGGAAACCCACACATTCAAACAGATATTTGGACTTCCGATCATCCCATCCTATGTCAATGAAAAAAGGATTGGTGAAATGTTTAAATAATAGAACAAAAAAACTAAGTAGTACCAAAGGAAATCTAAGAAAGGAGGTGAAGCATGTAAGAGAAGCTTTGAAACTTAATAATTACCCTGATAAATAAGTCAGAAAGTATTTAGGCAAATGTAAAAATAAAATAAATAATGATAGTAGTGATAGTGATAATAATAATAATGTTAGTGACGACATGCATGTCAAACATGTGCAAGACTGCACCAACAATAAGGAATCGAAATCATCAGCAGTAATTCCATATGAGGAAGGAACTTCGGAAACCTTACGCAGAATTCTTAACAAGGCAGGAATAAAAGTGGCTGGCATTCAAACCACCCACAAACTCAATTAGAAACAAGCTTTGTCGGTTAAGGGATCCTGTGGAGCCTTTAAAACAAAACAATCCAGTTTATCTAATACCCAGATGGAATGATTGTCAGGTCAAATACATAGGTCAAAGTAGTATAACAGGTGCAGTCAGCAAGACTAGCGAAGCACAAACACCTAGCAGCAAAATCTAGATTAGTTGACCCGAATAAGATAAGAAATTTAGAGAATAGTTCAGTTATAGCACTACATGCAATTACACACAACAATACAATAATACCGTTTCACTGTGTGATACATCTAATAAACAAACTAATACGAGCTTACCGTTGATGAGCTTAGCGCAAAACTAGCAAAGTAGAGGTGTTTAGATCACTTCTATCTGGCCAGTAAACACTACTCGCTGGTGGGAGCGGTATGGTATGGATATGTATCCATATATATATATATATATATATGGTGGTCTCTCCTTCTGTTGCTCTCTTAGTCTGTGACCACTTCACTTTGATGAACCTGTCTCCTTTAACAATGTATATTCCCCTTATATTATATATAATATGTGTGTTTCAGGACAGTCTGTTATATTTAGCTATGTATATATGGATCGATATTCCAGTATAATTAGCCAATCACGTTAAGACTGTCTATTGATTTGCTCACTTTGAATATTCGCTCACACACTTGTGTTCACACACTTTTTTGGACATTCATATATATTTCGCTCTCACACTCTTGTGTGATAGATTGATTCTCCTTGTGTTTTGGAAAATAGAAGCATCATCGCAAACCTAGTGGTCTTCTGATTTCCGTTTTTCTTGCGTCAGGACTATTAAATTCTCAACCAGTACATAATAATAATTTGGCAACGAGTACATAACAGGCATACAACTACTGATCTCAACCAATTAGTAATGCATAGTTTTATGCATTTATCCTTGCTTTCTTAACTAGCATTTATGGTCTCAGGTAGAACACATATTTTAATCTGAGTAATCTGTACGTCGGTGGCACAGAGGTAGAATGCTCGCCAACCACGCCTCATGTGGTCCGGGGTTCAATCCCCGGCCACGGACTCACTCCTGCGTCGGTGGCACAGTGGTTAGGATTCTCGCCGACCATGCACATGGTCCGGGGTTCGAGCCCACGCCGACGCACACCTGATATGTAAGGTCGGCCTGCGAATTTTGGGCTACCGATATCCACGCTGAAAATTCCACACTTGTAATAAAAAAAATACGGTGTGGAATCAAGCTGTAATCAAAAAATTAAAAAAATTAAAATTTACCTCGCTGAGCCAGCAATAAGACTGGTAAAGAGAGAAGGTTGGGCATGAGGTTAGCAAAACCCATCCCGTAAAAATAAACACCACTACTACCGAAACTTCAAGCCTCTAACTTGAAACGTTTCTAGAGGAAAGCATAACGAAATCCCACCTAAAACTGTGTAAACTGCAAATTGTAAATTGAATTTATGAGATATCTGTCGTTTATTCAAAAAGCCAACTGTATTTCTATACTGAAGATTGAATCAAGAAAAATTCTCAAGGGAAAATAATTACTGAAAAAGTAATATGGTCATTTACCACAGTGTAACTGCTGAAATGAGGTGTTGATAAATTTCCTACTCATCTTCAACTATTCATGAGTCCTACCACTAGATGAAAAAACCTAATCGTCGTAAGCTTTAGACATAGGCAAATCCAAAACAGTAATACAGTGGTTCTCTAACTGATGTCAGCTCATGATTAAATCCTCCATACAATCAAACCAAATCCCTACAAAACCAATACTTGAAAAAGTAATACAGTTATCATATCTAGAGTATATGAACATAATGATTACCGCTCAATAGCCTGACTAACCGGAAACTGTTCACGACAAAGACAGTTTATGATATTAACAGAAATAAAGAGAGAGAGAGAGAGAGAGAGAGAGACGGATCAACGCTAAACTCCAAACAAAAATTAATCGTTTACCACTAAACATGAAAGGGATAATTTGCGTTAGAAATTAAGATATATAGGTAAATATATTATAAACTACAGAATTACAATTACCGTCAACAGCTTAAAGCATTTTGTGCCTAACGAGCAATTAGCCATAGACTATGATCACCGACTCGACCATAGTTCTCATCTGTGTCAAGTGAATACATGATTGCTTTTCTTCTGCCTGGTGTTAACCTACTGACAATGTGATCTCTGCGTAATATCAGTACCTTGTTGAGGACTAAACCATTAATAACTGTCATCGCAGATACTTACTAGATTTGCGAGAAAATCTTGGAGTGTCAACTGACTTTGACAAACCCTATTGGACAGAACCCTTACAATGCTATATTAAGTAACAAAATCCATGCGAATTTAAATACAAATGTCCAGATATATGTGTTAATTTTTAAATATTACAGAATCAGTTACCTTAATTTTTTGTGCAGAACTACCATTGATCTGCCGATTGGTATTCGATTCACATAAATCAGAAGTAAATATTTCGTTGAATGCCGACGGTCCACTAGTCATAAAAGATTGAAATAGTTTTTCAAGAACAGTTAAACTTATTCGACCGTCGACAGCGTGAGAGCCGAAATATCGCTTTAAGTAACTGTATATCTGCATTAAGTCATTGTTTAGAGGCTGTAATCCACAAGTCGCCTCGTATCGGTTGTCATCCAAAGAATAACTTCGACGTATGCATCTGAAGGAACCATTACCACTGTGACATGTCATTTGAGCTTTTACTTTTGATATATCATACAAAGATTTCTCTTGCAATGGAGACTGATGTAAATCACTGATACATGCTTCTTTTAACTAGAGATGAATGGAAAAACAATAAAGCGATAAGTACATTTCATATGAAGTTAAAGGAGGGAAAAGTTAATGCACAAAATGCCAGTATAACAGTTAAGCATGCACAAGCACACTATACAATGCTTTTACACGACACAAAGGTAATAAAACAGAAGCTATTACACAGTGGGTACTTACTTCAATCGACAAAAATGGCGACAACATTTACAGCTAAATGCAACAACACTCACAAGGTAGTAAGTAAAGACAATGCAAAACATACAACACTATGAACTAATTATACAGTACATGCGATGGGACAGACTAAGCACAGTTGGATAAACCATTTACCAGGTCTGATATTTTCACCGATGTGTTCAGTGTATTAAAGAAGGAAGACATTGAATCAGTCTGTTTCACTTGTTGTGTAGACGAAACAGCATACATTCCTTCACTGAGATTACTATGTTGGCAATGACAGTTTTGTTCTAGAGAGCTGTTTATTGATTTAGTAGCGTAAATAATATCCAACGGGTTGACTTGTGTAGATTTTGATGAGTAATTATTTTGTTTAGATTTGTAAAAGTGTTTTTTAATAAGCTTATTCGACTCGCGTAAACTGCTTATTTCACGTTCTAGTTTTTGTGATTGTTCCAGTTGGCTTTCTGCTTCTTCAAGGGTAGACTTTAAGCTAGAAATAGATCTTAATCTCAGAATATTTGCATTACGTTCCAGCTCAACCTTTTCACGTTTGAAAACGAAAAACAAAAACAACGAAACCAACTGCGTACTTAACATTAATAACGAAAATTAAAACAATATTTTATTCCCTTAAAACTATTGCAATATAGGTCCACAAACTAACATGGAAAACTAATTTAGGGGTGACGTTCAGCAATGATTTTTCAGAATAGGGGATGAGCTTTGGCTACAAAACAGCAACCAATGACTAAAATTGCCCATAATAGCAGAATGTATTAACACCAATAGGTAGTTTTTATTGAATTCACAGAAAGACAAACAAAAGGTAACTGTATGCTTGAATTCACTATAAACTTAGTAATCCACAGACAAAGGAAGCAGAAAAGAGTAAGCATCACATACATCTTATGCACAAAACAGCGTACGAACTTCTAACCGTTAAACACCAACATCTCAAGCTAGTCTTTCTACTGTGTCGAATGAAACCTTAAATCCCAAATGATCATATCAGGTATTCAAGTATTGGTTTGTAGGGATTTGGTTGATTGGTTACAGGATTTCATCATGAGCTGACATCAGCTAGAAAACCATTGGAAAACCTGGGAGTACTGAACAGCTGTTTCGTCCTAGTTACCCGGAGTTCTAGTGGGAAGTCGCGACCAGTAGGGTGCAGCGGGTCGGGTGTGAGGACAAATACTCCCCGAAGACATTGGCTATGAGTCGCGCTATGTCGTGAATTGGCAGAAGTTAGAATTCATGGGCCATGGGATAGGATCCCAGTGGCTTAATGGTATACGAGCTCGCCTTGTAACCGGAAGGTCCTGGGTTCGAACCCTGGCGGTGGGTGCGTACTGATGAAGAGTCCCAAACTAGGACGAAACAGCTGTCCAGTACTACTCCCAGGTCTTCCAGTGGTTCTCTAACTGATGTCAGCTCATGATGAAATCCTGTAACCGATCATAGCAGGTACTTTGAGCTATATAATTGAATACCCACAAATAATTTAAACAAAGTGGAAATTAAGAGGTGAACAAACCTGAGACTGTAATACCTTTTAAGGAAAAAACTGAGAGTTTGGTCAGCACCCAGCTAACTTACTTAAGAATACATTGTTGATGGAGTATTTCAAAACTCTACAATGAGGTCATCAATATGTTCACCCTTAAAAAGAGTCTATGTAATCTGTGTGAAAAATATTTGGACACTGGTTAATCACCAAGAAGGTGTTATCATATATTATCTCCTTCTATACTGCAGCAACTTGAACTTACGCATTTCTGTGCCAAGTCCTACGCTGATTTGTTAGTCAGTTATTGCACTGTACACACTGCGAGACACTTGAGACTGATTCACAAGAAGACAATTGAATATTCTCAAGTTCATGGATGTGCTGAGCATGTCAAAGGGTCTCAAGATACTGGTATACTCTTGAGGGAAGCTCCTCTCTAACAGACAGTTGGAAAGAAAAGTATGATTCGAAGGATCGAAGAGGATCCTGATTGTCAGGAGTTTAGGTGCCGTTAGTATGCTATATTAGGGAGCTTTTGAAATGAACATACATCAACGAATCATATGGTTTCGCCATTTGGCAACATGAAAATTATGCATTACACTTGTGATAGCAAAACCAAAATACATGAACTCCTGATTACAGACAGGGCTGGTGTAAGTCACTGATTATCCCCACACACAAGAAGGGAGACAAGTCTTCCTGTGATAATCAAAGAGGGATTAGCCTGACTAATATAGTATCTAAAGTCCTAGGCTCAATAATCACGCGTAGACTAAGTGGTGCTCGGGAGGTACAAACACGAGAGAGCCAGGCAGGCTTTAGACCAGGAAGAGGGTGTATTGATCATATCTTCATCCTCCGACAGATTCTAGAACACAGGAATTCCTACCGGCGTCCAACAATCGTTATATTTCTTGACCTAAAGGCGGAATTCGATTCTGTCGACCGAGAGGTTCTCTGGCGATGCTTCGCTATAAAGGGAATGCCAAGAAAATACATTGCACTGATTAAGGCACTCTACTCGCACTCATGCAGCCAGGTGAGGGCTTACGGCGAGTTGTCATCTGAACTGGTGACGACTAGTGGTGTCCGTCAAGGATGCCCATTATCCCCATTTCTATTCAAATTCATCACAAGTGTACTAATGGACTTAACCCTAACTAACTTCAGCGACTCGAGGATTGACTTGCTACCAGGGAATATGCAGACGATATAGTCCTTCTAGGCGAGGACGCTGACAAAATCCAGCAGTCTTCTGAACACCTTGTACTGCAACCTATGAATGTTTGGCATGCGATTCCCTCCCACCAAATGCAAGATAATGTTACAGGACTGGACTACACCGACTCCTAGATTAGAAATTGGAAGTGAAGTGGTAGAGCACGTTGACCGCTTCACTTATTTGGGAAGTACCATCAGCCAACGCCAACGGGTTGATCTCTGGCGGAATCTCAGCACGGATACAGAGGGCTCGTTTCGCATATGCCAGTTTACACCGTCTCTGGCGTAAACATGATATCCAACTATCGACCAAAGGGCGGGTGTTCTGCTTATCAGTCCGCTCCGTCCTCCTTTATGGCTGAGACCTGGCCATTGAGAGTGGAAGACATGAAAAGATTAGTTGTCTTTGATCATACGTGCCTGCATTCTATCTCCCGTGTGAAGTGGTATAATAAGGTGAGCAATATTGAAGTTAGGCGTCGAGTTCTAAGTAAGCAGGGGAAATCAATCGACGAAGTTGTGAAGTTACATAGACTGAGATGGTTAGGACGTGTGTTACGTATGCCTAGTCATCATCTGTCTTCCTCGACGGGCAATGTTAACTGATATAGGGTCAGGCTGGAAAAGAGCTAGCGGCGGTCAAACCAAAACGTGACACCAGTCAATGAAATCTACAACAGCTAGTCTTAGCCACGTAGGAGGGTGTAGACTTCCTGGTTGGGGTCCTCGGGACGGTAAAAACCAATGGCTGGAAACAATTGGTGACATGGCTCAAAATCGTTCTCAATGGCGCAGATGCATCCACTCCTTGTGACTTCGATTTCCAATGAAACTCTATTGTTCTTCGTTACTACTATTCCTTTGTCTCACTCCTCTGTTTACTGTCTCTTATGCATTTCTTCTACTTTCTTCTCTTGCTTTGTGTGCTACATGGAGTGTGGAGACTTGAACTGCCGCACATATGTGCAAAGTTTTATGTCGAAAACAGACAGGCAAGGACAGCTATTAAATTTCGCCAATTATATGAAAAAAGATAAATAAAATTTTTCCTCACTTGGGATTTCATAAGATCGATTTCTTTGGAAACCATCTGAAAGCGTTCAGCCAGGCGATCAAAACACGTCTGCAAATCCGGTTTCATTGTATATGTGGATGTTTCATCTGAGGTAGGAGTCAACAATGAACTAAGTAGGAGTCCAAGTTGAGAGAATTCCTTGCTCATGTGGCTTATAGTTTCATCAAAGCGTTCGAGACTCGATGTCAGACCAACAAAGCTGCTACCTCCATCGGACAATTGGTTGTAAGAACCCATGACGCAGGAGTGGTCAGTAGGTTTTCTCTGCAAATAGGCATCACAGAACAGTTTTGTCGAGTCCCCAAAGGACTTTTAAATGAAAAGTATAGCATAACAAAATTTCACATTTTATACTTTGACAAAAGATGTATAAGTTTCGTATGAAGATATAGTGATCAATTATTATTATAAAGTGCAAATTTGTACAAATTGCTAGTACCCACTTACTGAACATAAGGGTAGACCAAAGACAAACTACTGATTTTGTGATTATATATATATATATATATATATATATATATATATATATATATATATATATATATATAGAGAGAGAGAGAGAGAGAGAGAGTATAGTAAATAATAAATACGGGAAAGTTAAACTACAGCAACCACCTGGCAGATAACCGAGAACCAACAAGAGTTATAAGGGCTCTGAGAAAATTAAATCGCATATTCTGTTTTGACTTTGCGTAACGAGTTGCAGGAAGACTGTGCGCTTGATTAATGAGTAAATAGTGGACTAATTTCAGTTGCTAAGACATGCCTATGTTGGAGAGGCTTGACAAGATGGCTAGTCATTTGAAACGACTGATGTTTTGGAGAATAATGATGATCGAAGTCAGAAAGAGAGATGGACCTCAAAACACTAAAATCGGAGGAATGTGGTTAGATGTGTTAGAATCTTAATTTATTTTACCAAAGCAGAAAATATGCAGCTGGAATGGAGCGACAGTAATCTAAAATATACGAAATCCAACTTGAGAAATATGTAAGGTAAGAATCACAAAAGATGAGCTGAACTTGAATTCAAGTACTTTACTGTCATCCATTTGGTAAATCTTTTCCATATTCACGGTAGTGTTCACTTATCTTTAATAAAACTGAAAACAAGTTTCCATCCTACTTTAGATGAACTTAAGAAACTGCAGTGACTCTATCATGAGACTTAATAGTTTCAGCAAAGTGTTCAAAGGTATAAAACTCCATTTTGACTTAATGATAATTCTCTTTGAAAGGTGAACACGCATTCACAATCTGCGAAGATTTTACTTCCGTCTTGTCTAAAAAGTTTATTTGCAAACTGAAGTAAGTATTGTTTTCTAACAATCTGTTGCAAATCAACAAAGACAAAAGTTATTGTTTAAATATGAAAATGATAACCAGGTGTATGTTCTAATTTAATAGAACATACCTTGTCCACATAATTTACAAGGCCATTAAGTTCACCATATTTGCTTTTGCGTTGCTTATCTGATTGATTCTGAACAAAAGTGTCACCAAAATACACCGTGGATGGTGAAATCATAATGCCCAATAAACACTACTACAAACATATGTGAAATCATTGTAACGCATCGCTTAAGTGGCGAGCTAATGCATACGTCGACTGCCAGACCCGTTCAATGTTCCCTAAGCTACCTATAATAGAACAACACAGACAGTATCAGATATCAAGCACACGGGGTGAGGTGAGAAGCAGAACGCGACAGGAAAGTTCAAAAGATGTATATATTTACAACAAAGAGCTAGGCCTTCAGTATTCAGCAGCCACCAGTTTTTGAATTTGCGCCTCCTCTTGAGTTCGAATTACTACACGACCCCCTCGGTTCCAAAAAGCTGTCCCCAGCGACTTCAGTGGTTCGGTCTCCCCGCCTCGAAATCGTCCCTACAAGAGAAAGAGACACATGGTTATTATGGTTATCGAGATAAGGCGGGTTCTCCTCGGTGCCTGTCTGCTTGGTCTACACGGTTTCAGACGGTTGAAGTGCACTATCATTTTCTGAGGGTTGTTGTTGTCTTCTTGGATTTCGTAGGTATTGTCAGTTACTCTGCGGTACACCACGTATGGGCCTGCCCATTGTGCTTGAGCTTTGCGTCGACTCCAGTTGTCAGTCGCTGGTTGACGTAGCCACACCTTATCACCTATTTTGAATGGTGTTCCCCACTGCTTTCTATCGTAGTAACGTTTCTGTCGTTCTTGTGCTCTCTGGAGTTCTTCGCGTGCATAGCTATGATACCTGGCGACGTCTCCTCGCAACCTTATTACCATTTCCGATGTAGTTAGCGGATCATCCCACCGGGGCATAACCAATGTATCACTAGGCAGGCGTAACTCGCGGCCAGTCCATAACAGGTGTGGTGTCTTTCCCGTAGACATGTGCGTGCTTCCTCGGTAGGCCAACAAGCATCTTGGTAACATGATGTCCCAGGCTGATTCAGCCTCCCTCTCTAAGAATAGGCGTAGTAATGATTTTAGGGTTCGATTGGTACGCTCTACTAACCCATTGCCTTCGGGGTGGTACGCGGTGGTTCTTGACTTTTTAATTCCAAATAGATGGCACAATTCTCTAACCACGATACTTTCGAAGTTGGTTCCTTGGTCAGAGTGCAATTGCTCTGGTGCGCCCCAACGGGCAATCCAACAGTCGAATATAGCTTTGGCTACAGTAGGGGCATCAATTCGCTGAAGTGGTACAGCTTCACACCATTTCGTAAAATAATCAACCATAACCAAGATATACTTATTTCCACGTGTGGTTTCACGTAAAGGTCCGATGATGTCGACGCCAATTATTTCGTTAGGATATCCAGCCTTCATATTAGTAAGTGGCGCCCGGGGTTTCCTCTGTGGATTCTTTACTTTGCCACATGTTGCACACCCTTGGACAAAGTCCCGGACGTCGCGCCGTTGGCGAGGCCACCAGTAGCGTTGGGTAACTGCTTGCAACATTTTATTAATTCCAGCGTGTCCCAAATCATAATGTATAGTCTCCAGAATTGCTGTTACAAACGACTGAGGGACTACGACTCTTCTCAAGTAGTTGGGGCCGGGTTGAACACACAGGATACCATTCACTAGTACTAACTGATCCCATAAGGCCCACAAACATCTGGTTTCCCAGCTCTTCCCTTTCACATCAGCTTCAACTGGCCTACCAGTCTGATTCGACAGGGCATGATAAAGGAGTGCAGTCTCATCGTCAGTAGCTTGGATGTGTGCCCACTGTTCTCTGCTTAGACCTGCCAACGAAATAGCACAAATATCAATACTCTCGCAAGACGGGCAGTCTCCGTGCGGTCTGAAAGAGCGCCTGGATAGCGCGTCAGCATTGGCATGTTGCTTGCCAGGACGGTGTACACATTCGAAGTCATACTCCTGAAGGTATTCCTGCCATCTTGCTGTCTGTCCTTCAGGGTCTTTGAAATTTTGCAACCACTGAAGAGCTTTGTGATCCGTTCGCAAAACAAACGGTTTACCAAGTAGATAGGGTCGGTACTTACGAACGAAGGTAACAGCGGCCAACATCTCTTTACGGGTGATGCAGTAGTTCTTCTCTGCACGGCTCAGCGTGCGGCTGCCATATTCGATAACATGTTCTTTGCCATCCCCACCGACCTGAGATAACACGGCTCCGATGGATGTGTGACTAGCGTCCGTGTCCAAGATGTATTTACCAGCCGTTGGTGATGTATCTGGGAATGCTAAAATGGGCGCCGAGCATAATGAATCTTTCAGCTGTTGGAAAGCACGATCACAATCCTCTGTCCATACGAAGGGAATATTTTTCTTAGTCAAACTCGTTAGGGGGCTAGCGATCTCTGAGTAATTTCTCACGAACCGGCGGTAATAAGAGGCCAACCCTAGAAAACTGTGTAACTCATTCACGGATTTAGGTACGGGCCACTCTTTGACTGCTGCAACTTTTTCAGGATCGCTATGAACGCCCTGTGCACTGACAACATGCCCCAAGAAAGTGACTTCGGTTCGGAATAAACGGCATTTAGTGGGTTGAACTTTGAGTCCCACCTCCTTCAAACGTTCCAAGACAATCCGCAGTCGCTCAAGGTGTTCTTCGATGGTGTGACTGAAAACGATAATATCATCTAAATATACGAGGCACACCTGTGGGACTAATCCTTTAAGTACTGTGTGCATCAGTCGTTGAAACGTGGCTGGTGCATTACTTAACCCGAACGGCATGGTCTGGAATTCATATAAACCGGTGGGTATAGTAAAAGCAGTTTTGTGCCGATCACGAGGGTGGACTTCCACTTGCCAATATCCAGAAGCTAAATCAAGGGTGGAAAACCAGACGGCACCTGATAATGCTTCTAACGTCTCATCTATTCTAGGCAATGGGTAAGCATCTCTCCGGGTCACTGCGTTTAATTTTCTGTAATCAACACACAAGCGCAGGGTGCCGTTTTTCTTCTTAACTAACACTATAGGCGAGCCCACGGTGAGTTCGACGGCGCAATTATTTTTTTCTGTAGCATTTCATCAATCATGCTTTCCAGTTGCGGACGAAACTTAGCTGGGACTCGGCGAGGTGTTTGCCGTATTGGAGCACAACTACCGGTCTCAATAGTATGTTGGATAGCTGTGGTTCTTCCCAGGTCAGTCGAGGACCAAGATACGACCTCCGAAAACTCGGACATTAACCGATGTACCGCCTCTTTGTGCTCTCGCGGGACCTGTGTTAGCATACTTTCCATCAGGGCGGTATCAATTGCATTCACACTCAGCTGTAAACAGGTATTATTAATATCTGCTCCAAATAGTAATGTAGAACCTAGAAGGGTGAGCTTTTGGGATTCAATATCAATTGACGCGTTGCAACCGCGTAGAAGGTCATAACCTATTATTAAATCCCACGACAATCCGTTAACTACCAAACACGGATGCCACATACGACCATGTTTACCTTCCCATAAGACTAACAGCTCGCCAGCCACTTTCATGCGAGACCCATTTGCCGTTTGGATGTTAAGGTGGGGTGTGGCAGTTTTGGCCATAGCATTACAATATTTGCTGGACAACAATGTGCGAGCTGCACCTGTGTCTACCAACCCAACGAGAGTTCTGTCATAAAACTTAACTAGAACAGTGGGCAGTTGCTTAGCTACATATGGCTCATCTGATAATGGCATGACATTAGATAAAAAAGAGGGAGACTCACCAATCTCTTCTGGGAGGCGAGAGTTTATCCAGCCCTCCCTTGGACGTGGTTGGTGTGGAATTTGTCTTGCTTTCGGGGAAGATCGGGACCTCCACTCAAGATGTGGTTTCGTACGATGCTCACGAGGCGTCCTCGATTCTTGATATTGTGATTGAGTATAGGGTCCGTCTGTTGGTCGCCGATTCTTACGAAGCTTAATTAGAGCTTCCTTCTGTTTGGCAACCTGTAGAGCCTCCACGGGCGATGTAGGGTTGCTTTCGATGACCCTTTCTCGTACTTCGTCGTGCAAAAACCCTTCTTCGAATTGGTGGAGAATACGGGAGCTGATTTCGGTTGCGGAGTCTCCTTCAAAAGCCACTGGAGCTAACTCTTGAAGTCGCCAGAGGAATTCCTCTGTACTTTCGCCGCTCTGCTGGACACATGCGTGAAAAGCAGCCCGCTGCCCAAGAACATGGGTATGCGGCGCAAATGCTCGACGCATCGCTGCAAATAGCTCCTCTACTTCCATCGTCTCTTCTGTGTCAACGCCAGCTAGCTTGAGGCGTTTCAACGCAGGTATTGACAGTAAACAGATTACAGCACTAGCTCTTTGTTTTTCATCAAATTGTTGTATATAGCGACGGCACTGCTCCTCCCACAATGTGAATGATTCCCCTGGGACGAACTTTTCTGGTGCTGGGAATTTAACTTGGGGTTTATTGTTGGAGGACGATGAAAGTGTATCCGACGTCATCAATGCTATTCTGAACGCTGCGACCATTGCTTGAATCATATCTGGGCAGGCGTGGACGTCGACGTTGTCGGTGAGGTTGATGACATTACTGGTGGCGCTCTGTTACCATTTTCCGAGTCGCAGGCGTTGGCATTAGCAGGAGATTCAGAGTCCTTCACTTCGCGCTTTAGTTTACGCGAGTTGGGCAGGCTCGCCATGTTCTATAATAGAACAACACAGACAGTATCAGATATCAAGCACACGGGGTGAGGTGAGAAGCAGAACGCGACAGGAAAGTTCAAAAGATGTATATATTTACAACAAAGAGCTAGGCCTTCAGTATTCAGCAGCCACCAGTTTTTGAATTTGCGCCTGCTCTTGAGTTCGAATTACTACATACCATATTTTCAAACGCAATGGTCACAACTTATCATTCAAGCATACAGATGCGAAATTAGATGCTCACTGTATAGAACTCCATAGCGAAAAATATTACGTATATCTTGAAGAATAATGATCACATCTGGGAGCACCTCGGTAGGACTAATAGACTCCATGAAGCCCAACTTGCTTTCAAGAAAGGCAGATCCTGTGTAATAAACCTACTATCAGCTTGGAACGACTGGACATCATGCTGGAATATGAATGTTCCAATCCATGTGGTTTTCCCATGCTTTGAGAAGGCATTTGACACAGTTAACCATGACCTCCCACACAAAATAAGTCAGGCACGTATAGGTAAGTCATAGTTGGAGGACTACCTAGTTCAAAGGAAATTCTGCACTAAGGTAAACAGAATTTGATCATCTTGCACTGCTCGTCATCAGGAGTGTCTCAGAGTTCTATCCTAGGACCACTGGTGCTTTTGATTTTTGTCAACGACCTACCGTCTAAACTGCCTGAC